CTGGGATCATCTTACATAAACTTGTGCTGTCGGTACGGCAGTTTTAGCTTGCACTGTCTCCTGTAGCTGCTGCATTTTCATTTGGAATTCGGTTTCAAGGTCATTGACATGCTGCGTGCATACTGAAATGTCTTGCTGGAGGGACAAAGAAACAATAGGAATTAAAACAATAATAACTATGTACATTTTAATGTACATGTACATGTACATGCATCTAACCATTAGCATCTTTAAGAAGAATTCATGCTGTCTGACATTAATGAGGGACTGTTTCATCTTCAATGGAGGTGGTACATCTGGTGATGCTGGAAGAGGCTCCAACAAACTCAATATGACACCTACATGTACATACATACATAAATGCATTAGTATATAAGTATTATCAATGTGTCTGTATATATGTCACCTGTTAGGTGGAAAGCTGTCCTCAAAGTCTTCTTTAATTCAGTTCCAAGATTATTATTAGTGACTTTCAATGCATCTTTAAGTATCTCGGGCACTAAAAGAAGTAAATATATAACCTCATTCTCACTCTCTTTTTTTATTCTTTTTACTTACAGTCATCAATTCCTTCTCCTCCTTTACCGCAGTCTCTATTAAACAGTCGTATTCCTGTCACTATGTAGCTTAATTCTTTCAGCTGCTTCTCTTTGTCTTCACGAGTCAGAGCCATGAAAGTTCCTAGCTCAGTCTGAGGGAAAACACTCTGCAATGCAGCTAAGGAGAAAATAAAGTGCATACATGTTTTTATGTTGTGTAGAAAGTTTATGAATTTTTAAAGTTGCTCCAAAATCCAGCCAAAGTCCCTGTACTATAGTATAGGGTCACTGGCCAAATTTCGTCAAAAATGAAAAGGAGAGAATTCTTCATTTTAATCATTTATCCTGGTACATATACATGTTCTTATGTTGTATAGAAAGTTTGAGCTGATTCCGATTAAAATTAGATTTTTTATAAATTTTTTAAGTTGCTCCAAAATCGGGTAAAAGTCCCTGTACTATAGCACATGGTCTCAGGCCAAATTTTGCCAAAATTGAAAAGGAGAGAATTCTCCATTTTTATAATTTTTTCTAATACGTATACATGTTCTTATGTTGTGTAGAAAGTTTGAGCTGATTCTGATTAAAATTAAGATTTTTTACAAATTTTTAAAGTTGCTCCAAAATCAGGTAAAAGTCCCTGTACTATATATGTTCTTATGTTGTGTAGAAAGTTTGAGCTGATTCTGATTAAAATTAGATTTTTTACAAATTTTTAAAGTTGCTCCAAAATCAGGTAAAAGTCCCTGTACTATAGCACATGGTCTCGGGTCAAATCACCAAAAATTTAAAAAAGAGAATTCTTCATTTTTATAATTTTTCCTGGTACATATACATGTTCTTATGTTGTGTAGAAAGTTTGAGCTGGTTCCAATCAAAATTAAATTTTATAGCAATTTTTAAAGCTGTTCAAAAATTCAGGTAA